AGCAGGAGTGACGGGTTGGTCTCAACAGACTGCAGCAGGGCTCTTGCGTACCTCTTAGAGAACAGAGATGTAACTCAGACAAGTCCAATGAATGAGTGTGTCAGGGGCTGGCAAGTTGACAGTATTGTCACTAGCAGTTTGGTCTGAGCTGACATCTTTCTCCTTGTCTAGTTTAGTAAAATAGTGCACAGATGGAGTCTATATTACCAAAGACAGTCAGCTTATATCGACACGTGTGATCTTTTCTACCCAAGTTTGAGAATTACAGACCTTTTGACACCTTCTTGTGGTTTAGTTTAGCTGTCGTGCATATAAACACAGAGCCGGTGCATGAGTAAGAGTGAACTCTGTCATTGCCATCTGGCACCTCCACCTTCCTGGTTATCAGATGTTTAACTACAGATCGTCAGCCTCCGCGCTCATTTAAAGCTTGTTACCATAGAGATGAACATTAGCTCTGGCAGCGCGGCTTAAATATGTATCGGTGTTAATCGAAGATCAATACTGGGGCTGACAGCAGATGGACTCAACAGGACCTGGTCTGTGAGGCTCTCGGATAGATCACATTGAACACATGCCTCGGCAGCCAGCAGGTTTCTGTTAACACGCTCTGTCAGAAGCACGATTGTATCTGTTATTGCTTTTGATGGAAGAAAACGTTTTGCAGAGTACATTTCTAAATGTATAGGTATGCCATTTTATTTAATGCATGTTTGAACACGTTTTAAGATAGCTCATTTTGACAGAAATGTGTACGGTGGTGCAGTGGTAGGGCAGAAAATTAAATGAAAGGACTTTTTTTTTCCTTATTAACTTTAATTTCTTTGTCATAAAATGCACTGTATGTTGAAAGACAAAAAAATATCAAAGACTTAGCATAATTTTAAATGTCTGCTGATTTTTGTGCAGGGCAGTGAACATTGTGTGAAATATTTGTGAAGCGTTTCTTCAGATTATGTGAGCAACACTGACAAAAATTCATGTTGTGTTGTGTTGAACAGATGCAGTCTATCAGAAGTCAATAAAATAGTAATTATATGGTCATGGGAAAAAAGTCCATCCTTTTTCAATTCTAGGGAATTACGTATTATAATATGTGTTTCTTGTGGGATCAATAAAGTTATATCTTCTTGTAATACAAATGATCTGGGTTTTTTTTAATATAAATTGTTCAAACCTAACCTGAAATGTACAAACAACAATTTACAACAACATGACATTCCACTGTGTCATTTTTCTAATAAACAAAAATGAAGCCAAAATGGAAAAACTATGAAGACATTAGCACCCTCTTTCATACTTCCATAGGATTTAAGATGGAAAGTAGCAGCCAGGCGATACTAATCAAACAAACTTGATTCATTAATAATTTGTTTTACCACCAATAAGCAGGAGTTTTAGTATTTTGCTGCTATGGAGCGATTAAAACAATGCCAAACAAGAAAGACATCAGCAATGACCCTAAAAATGCAAGATTTATGAGTTATGAGGTAATTTCCAGACATGTTGGAGTTCATCATTTTACAGTGAAAAAAGATTTATGGGCGAAAAATGTAAGACGGCTGCCACTCTTTCCAGGAGGGGACACCTCAGCAAATACACCCCGAGTTCAGACTGTGCAATGCTCTTAGAATGACAAACAGCCCAACAGCTCCACTTTGGACTCCACGTGACTCAATTAACAGGTTCAAAGCTAAAGTTCATCTGTCAAGGTTTCAAGAGAATATAAACCCAATGCAGAACCAACACCGGGGGCTCCAACCCCCCTCCTTAAAACTTCCTTTTATGAATAAAAACAAAAGCTGACATGGCAGCAAAACTTACAGAACAAAAGGAGTCTCAATCAGGCATGGGGACGAACCAAAAAATGCGCACGAACTGCACAATGCTGCAACGATTTCTGAACTGACGCAGGGAGGACATGAAGGCTGAGGTGGACGAGGGGATGAGGAGCAGCAGCCGTGCTGAATGAAATGAGGAGCAGGTGAGAATGGGCGTGGCAGGACTGAGGAGCAGGGTCTAAACTCAGGAAGACTGAGCTGAGGGACTGGTTGCACAGAGGAACACAGGGACACTGAAAAAGAAATGCACACACAAATAAAACCAACAAATAAACAAACAAACCAAAATCTGACCACACCATCATGACAGAACAATTAGAAACAGTGTGAATAAGTATGGCTTGTTTGGGAGAGTTGCCAACATGTTGCCTCATCTCTTTGATAAGGAAGCTGCAGACTGACCTCCTGTAGGTTTGCAACATTTAATCAGACTGAACCACAACACTGCTGGTCAAACAGGACTGAAGACGAGCTGTTTAACCACAAAGCACAGTGCCATGTTTGGCGAAAACCACACAGCATTTCAGCGCCCTCATATCAACAGTCATGCAGCACGGTGGTGGAGGCTGATGATTTGGGAGATTTTCAGCCACAGGACACATATATCTTACAGCCATTGAGTCAACTCCTCTATATACCAAGTTATTTTAGAATCTCGTGAGACCAAATATTAAAAATAAAGGCGTTACAATGGTTCAGTCAGTCAATGCTTCAACCTCACTGAACTACAGCGGTGGGTCAATAAAAAGGCTGACTAAGCACAAAGCTAAAGCAGGTTCTACCCATCACTGCACTCAGTACTTACTGGTCAGTTGGTCATCTTTATCTACACGGAGGCTCTCACACTGGTTCATTTTCATCTTGAAATTGTTTCTTGGTCTGCTGCCTTCATATATCTCCTAAATGTCACACCATCAGTGCAGTTACAGCGTGCGCTCTCAGGCCATCATTACCTGCAGCGTCCCCTCCGTGAGGACTGAACTTGGCAAAAAGGCCTTATCTTACTCCGCTCCTGTAACCTGGAATACCTTGCAAAAGACTTGAAGCTGTCCACATTCACCTCTTTATGGGATTTTAAACAACTGAGAAGTTCAATAGAGAAATCAAAGCTAACGTTCCTATTTTTAGTTTTGTACCTTGGTTTACATGGCACCTTGATTTGTTGTTTTATAACTCTACTTTTATTTTAATTGCATTTTTACTGCAGTTTATTGTTGTCTGTACTTTATATGTTGTCTGTCTAAAACAGGTCTCTTGTAAATGAGTCCTCGTGACTCAATGAGTCTAACCTGTTTAAATAAAGGTTGAATGAAAATAACAAGGTGTTAAATCTGTGGGTGGACAGTCTTTCCATTTAGGCATTATTTTTGTTTATTAGATGATGATGACGGAGAAATCTGTTGTGGGATTTTGCACATTTCATGTTAGATTTTAAAAAATGTTGGACCTGGTATTACAGTATTTATCTGTTTGTCAAACATTAGAATTTAATAAATGGTGGACATTTCTTCCTCATGATTATAGGAAATGCATAGACTACACAGTGTAACTAAAGAGTGTTGGTGTAACAGCAGAATGTCTTTTAGTAAAATATTAGTCATTCTTTTGGTCTGGAAATTGTCTTAAAATTAGCTTTGTAACTACTTGCGTAGCTAATAATAACATTTAAAAGTCATCAGTGAGAAAATAAATCAGATGGCCGTTCCTCTGTTTACCTGTTTGACGCAAATCATTTTAGTTGAGGCCAAGAAATGAAAGCAAATCACAAACACGACAGCTGGCTGTCATCCTTACTGGCAGAAAGTGGAGCTCTCACCCACCCTGGACTGTCTGGTGAGCAGAAAGTAAGTGGGTGAAATGTTTGCATTGCTCACGAGTTTAAATGACAGGGTTGATTCATCCGTCAGGCTCCTCAGATTTAAACACACTGCTGTGTCAGAGCACACTGACTCACACAGTGATGGACAAAATGCACATCGAGAGAAGGAACAGCCTGTAACTCAGACACTTTGCCCCTCGTGGTGTCATGTTTGTTCAGTAGTGTATCATTCATGAAACGACCATCCAATCTGAAATAAATAGCAAACAATACGATTGTTTTCGTCAGTTGTAGCAGTAATTTGTCGGCTCAGTGGATTCTCCGTATTGTTTTATTTAAACTCACCATTCTCTGTGTGCACAATCGAGAAGAACATTAGCGTTGGTGTTCAAGCAGATCTGGCCTCAGCAGAAAATCCTCCGTTTTCAGCTGAATAATGCTGAAGGCAGCTCCATGCAGGCCACGGTGTTGAATTTGTTTCGTCGCTGGGCTTCACACTCGCCACACAAACACGTCTTGCCAAGAGATTATGACTTACACTGATCTGTTTACAGCGTTAACGCGACAACAATACAGGACGAAGGCACAGCTGATTGTGTTCAAGACACTTTTGTCTGCGTCATTGTGTGTGCTGTCACGTAGGACACCCGGGAAAAAAAAGGATTTTAAATGAGCATAAGCATCAAAAATGAACAAGCAAATCAAAATCAAGCTGGAATTTTCCTTTTGTCTTTCTGACACTAAAACGTGCGCTTCTTCTGTTCCACTCACTTTTTGTCCTTCAGAATGAACACCTGGAGGGTTAGCCAACTCCTATCTGCTCCGAGTTGAAGGATCAATGAATATTAATGGGAACGTCAATGAATATAGAAAGCTCGTACCGAAAGCGATAAAATTGACAGGACGCAACTGATGCAGGTTTAAGCGTGTTTTACCGTTGCAGAAATAACAGAAAACGCAGCTGAACTCAGATGGTGTTGCCTTCAGGCTGTTGTTTACTTGCTGCTGCTTGTCCTTGACAGCATTTCTCCACCACACTGTGCCTCTGTGTTCATGCAGTTCAAGTACACCGTGCAGATCAGAAGTTATCGTTAGTTGATGTCGTATGCAGTTACCTGCTGTCGAAACAACATGAACGTTTGAACTAAAGAGGACGTTTAAATCTGATGGTGTTTAATAAATAACATATGCGTACAAGTTTATGATAGGTTCTGCTAATGTGTTTTGCGTAACAGACAGATCATGCATATTCAAGAACTTTATGAACACCACTCAGACATCACTTATCTGATTCTTTATTCTCAAGCTTCAGCAAGTCATCTGTACACAAAGTCGCCACCATGAGTAGCATCAGAAAAGCAACTGCTATGCTCAACGACTGTTTTACCAAGTATGTTGGACAAGATGGAGACAAGACAGCCATGTCCAAGGCTGAAGTTGCAAAGATATTCAAAACAGAGTTTCCTGAATTAGCCGCCGCATTAATAATAAGTGCTATGTGTTGTCATTATCGTATGTTCCCATACAATGGTGAAATTGGTTCTCTGCATTTAACCTATCGCACCTGGGATCCACCCAGGTGGAGCAGTGGGCAGCTATGTAAGCACCCAGGGAGCAATTTGGGATTGGGTGTCTTAATCAGAGACACCACAACATATAGGAATAGCTGGGGATTAAACCTGGGACTTTCGGTTCTCGGGTCAGCTGCCCTGCCTCTCCCCCATCTCGGCCCCATTACAGAATGACAGTGCTGACAAAGGTCAGCTGACATGTTTAAACTGCTGGATGAAGATGGTGATGGCACCGTTAATTTCTAAGAATACGTCGTTTACGTTGCAACCTTGAGTATGGTGCTCCATGGATGTTGATCTCAAATGGGACGGGGAGAAAACAAAGCTCCAACCCACGATCATCCTTAAAATATTCAAACTTCCCCAGCCAGACACCAAATCTTTACGTGAAAGCTTGAGTGACTTGAATGGTCATTGAATGTGAAATGCTGATATGAAATGTCAAAGCTGACTTAAAAAATGGAACAAATAACAAATAAAGATTTGTGTCCCTTCAGTGTGGCTGTGGCTGAGTGGTTAGAGCAGTCGTCCTCTAATGCAAGAGTTGAGGGTTTGATTCCACCAGTAGTCACATGACAAAGTGTCCCTGGGCAAGACACTGAACCCCTCATTGCCTCTGATGTGTGTCACATCTGTCATGAGTGGTGGTTTTAGAGCAGAACCCATTGGTGCAGGCAGGGCTCAGAGACCAGATGGTTAAATGAGAAACACTTTAATAATACAAAAATAATGAAGCTGTTGTGGCAGCAAAACTCATGTTCTTGGAAGACATGTAGAAAGTCACAAGAAACACATAAGAACTCGGAAGGGAAACCAGACGATGCCCAGACAACAAATAACACAAAGACACAGACTTACATACAATGACTAACGAGACATGACACTCAACACCTGTGAGGACACACAGCTGAAACACATCAGGGGAAATGATAAACTGGGAAACCAGGGGGTGCAGGAACAGAATCAGCCACCAGAGGCACAATCCCAGCACTATCAGTGTATGAATGTGACAAACCTCTGATTATTCTCTGTAGAGATCTAGTAGAGTGTTGTATGAATGTGTAAATGAGAACACAGATTGTTGTGTAAAGAGCTTTGAGTGTCTTGATCAGAATGAAAGGTGCTATATAAGTGTCGTCCATTTACTTCTACTGACAGACATAGCTAAATGTTTCTTTTCCTGTGTACACGTGTTTTTGCGTGCATGTTTCATGCTTTATGTTTACTTTGATCTGAGAGTCCACTCTGAAACGTCCTTCATAAGTAAAACATAAAGGGAGCGAGAGCAGACTCACCATCACAGCCATTAGGAGGAACCATTTTACTGTAAATGTATCATGCATGAGACTCCTGAGGAGAGCTGCCCTTGGCCTTCATGCTGCTGGAGCTGGTATAAACTGGACATCATGGAAAACTCAGTGGTCAACACTGCACGTCGTTCTGACGGCACACCTCAGAACTGTTGACTGGACACAGTCTCCTCTTCCTCCACAGAGATTTATTCTTTTATTCTGCGCTCGACACACAGAGTGTTTGCATGCTGGTGGTTTCTCCATTTGAATGATTTACACCCTCAAACACACAGCAGTGACGAATGTTTAACTTGTTACATCTTTGGCTGCATGTTTAAGTTTTTAACGCGTCAGCTATCATTATAACATTCTTATATTTCGATTATAGTGGCTTTAACGGCAGCTTGTTTTAGCGATGCTGTCGAGAACCTGAAGCAGTCTCCTCAGATGAATAATGCATGGGCCACTGCTGACAACACGCTGGCTTTGAGTGCAGTGGTCTTGTCTAATCATGGCGACTTTTTAGCCTCTGAACACTGTTTTCTTTCTGACTGTTTTTTTTTTTCCCAGGAGAATGAGCTTCAAGGTTTCCTTCAGGAGAACAAGCACTTGAGTCTTCAGTGGTTCAACAGCAGCCACAAAGCATCCGAGTATGAAAAGGTAAGAGGTGAGGAGGCTTTGCACAACAGCTTCCGTGTTCTTAAATACAGCTTCTGAGAGCTGTTGACTCTGATCAACGTTTCTTCTTCACAGATTGAGGCCTCTCTGTCGTCACTTTGATGCAGTGTCGTTTCTGGGTCACGCTGCGTCTTAGCCACGTTAGTGAAGGAAACTCGCTTTCAATTCTATATAAAAAATACACTCTTCCACAAATATTTTCCATTTGTGGAATGAAATCAAAATAAAACAGCAAGCCTCAGGTCTCTATAATTTACTGACGGATTTGAAATCATCACTTTGAAGACAGGGCAGATCTAAGCTTATAAACATTTAAAGGCAGATCTTACTCATCACAGATTATCCCCCAACTTTGAATCCTGTGCAGTTTAGCTTGATCTGTCTCTTTTAGTTGACTGCTGGTTTTATGCCTGTGGATAGGTTTTATGATTTAGACTCACTGGTCTCGGTGTTTTGATTTGCTGGCGTTGTTAGAATTACTATCCTTGAGGAATCACTGGTCATTCACGGCTGCTCTGAGGAAAGGGGGCTTCGGCTCGGCTACAGCTGCAGGAACACGTAAACACAGAGGCGATTAGGGGCCTTTAAAAGAGCGGACGGAAAATACTGCCCCCTTCAAAGTAGTGTAAACAGTGCTATCAGGAATGTGTGGAAACAGTCCCATTCTTCAGACGTTGAACTGACAGAAACACAAACTTCGCTTGAAGAAATCAGGTTCAAGTGTTTTAATACTTGCTCCACTTGATGCACGGTGTTTGTTTGACAGCGAGGCATGAATAATTGATTCACGTTTTGGTTCACAGCAGTGGAAGTGAGTGAATTATATTACTCTTGCATTATAATAAAAACAATAAAATATTTCATCCTTAAATACAACCAGCTTCCCTGCCAGTTCCTGACCTGTGACAATTTTCTGTCACGTAATGTGTAAAATACTTGAAATACAAAGCAGGTGCCTCACAAGCTAACAGATGCTATTACAAAGAACTGGTTGCTTGAGTTGTGAATGATTCTTGGTATGTGTCTGTAGAAGATAACTAACATTTAATAAAACAAGAGAAATTGCATTTCCTGTGAAAATGTAGTGTAAATGCATATTGCAGAAAAACTTGCTGAAAAACAGCTGAAATTAGCAACCAAAAAAAAAACATGCTGAAATATAGCTGAAATGGAAGAGCAAGCCTAAATTAGCAGAAGAAAGCAGAAAGAACACATATTTGCTGAATTGGGTTTAAATAAGTTGAAATGAACATAAAAATTGGAAAATTAGCTACAAAAGCTGAAATTAGCACAAAAAAAATGCTAAGAGCTGAAAAGGCATCAAGAAAGAGTTGAAATGAACTAAAAAGATGTGGAATTAGCTGAAAAAGCTTTAATTAGTATAAAACAGCTGAACAGTAGCTGAAATTGCAGAAAAAGCTGAAACTTACAAAAATTAGCTGAAAGGAACATAAAAAGCTGAAATTTACAGAAAGAAGTTAGAAGAAGCACAAAAATGTTGCAGTTAGCAGGAAAATTCTGAATGGAGCACAAAACAGCTGGTCGAAACAGCTGAAATTAGCTAAAAGTAGCTGAAAAAATGTTTAAATTTGCACAATAAAGCTGAAAGAAGCTGAAGCAGAACAAAACGTGAAAGGAGCAGTAAAAGGTTGTAAACAGATCTGAAGATTTGAAGGATGTAAAATGAGCTCAATTCAATTCCTATGAGGAAAAAAAATGGCAGAAAAAGCTAAATATTTTGAAAAGCTAACGTTGCACCAATACCAAAAGTCATAGCAGGATTGTCCTGAACGAGCTGAACATTTTGATATTTGATTTGTTGAAATAGCACAAAAATTGTGGAACGAGAAAGATGCTGAAAAATGTACGGAAGATAAATGGATCACAGTAGAGTGAATGCTTCATAAACATTCACACCATTTTTACCATAAATACCACACAATGATAAAAAGCACTTCTTTCATATAAAATATACCACTTGCACTAGTGGGTGTGTCGCACTGGAACTGGCTCTGCCTGTGTTTAAGTGAGAGTATGTGGAGAAGAAACATTAAACGTCAGCTGTCATCACCCTGATGGAACGGTCTTTTGAGACAAAATCAATTTATTTTATTGATAAAGAGCAATACACAACAAAAGTCATCTCAGGGCTCTGTACAAAAAGGTAATTAAGTTAGAAACAGTCAATTTATCTCATTTATAATGTAATGGAGTTAGAATCTGTACATTACAAATTGCCAAAAGAAGCTTGTGTTTAAACTAAAGTGGTGGTGATTTATGTTGGCTGCCCCCTCCATCCAGGCAGAATATTCAAACATGTTTGTTCTCACTGGCTTTTAATACAGCATGAGATTTGACCATTTTGCATTATTTTATGTCATGTCATATTAGTTTTTATTTTTGTTTGTTTTTAAGGGCTCTTGTGGCACAGTTGGTAGAGCTGTTGCCTCTCAGTGAAACGTTGCCGGATCAATTCCTGGCTGGGGATGTTTTCTGGGGGGAGTTTGCATGTTCTTTCCATGCATGCATGGGTTTTCATGCATGTTAGGCTGATTGGCAACTCTCATATGTTCCTAGCTGTGAATGGTCTGTCTCTAGGTGGCCCGGTGATGGACTTGAGACCTTCCAGGGTGTACTCCGCCTCTCGTACAGTGAGAATATTTGAGATTTTGTAGCCATGCATGTGTAATGACACCAGCCAACCTGCAGATATGTTCGTTTTTGATTCTCAACGGATGATGAACCTATTAATTTATTGTAAATGCACACAAGTGATTGCAGGGTCGGTAGTCATAAATGCTTCACATTAAAGTCACCAGTTAGATTTTTGGCCATGAAGGCCTTTCAGTGCGAAGTTTGCAGATTTGTTTAGTGCGTTTTTCTCCGAGCGCTGCAGTTTCCTCCTACAGTCCAGTAAAAATCCACATTCTGAAGATAATTTATTCGTGTGAACATGAGTCTGCATAGCCATGTGATGAACTAGTTACCTGTCTAGGGAGTACTGTTCCTTAAGGATTGTGCAGAATATGATTGATTGATTGATTGGACAACTCCAGTAAAGGTGATACATATGATTCCAATCGTTTAGTGTCTAAAGAAGAAGAACATTCTCCTCAGTGTGACTCAAATGATCTTTTGCATATAAAAATGAGTTTATGGATATTTGTAGTAAAGTGATCTAACATGCATGTTTTTGGTCTGTGGGAGGAAACCAGAATACCTGGAGAAAAACCTACTCATGCATGGAGAGAACACGCAAACTCCACCCAGAAAGGCAACCTTCTCAATGACAAGCGGCAGCTCTAGCAGCTGCACCACCGTGCCGCCCCATGCTGTGCATGATGCCAAACAGGAAAAAGGCAGACTAACGAGCAAACATAAGAGGTGTCAATATTTCTTGAAATCTTGACTTATAAATATGTTCTGAAGAAAGAAAGCCAATTCAGAAGCTGTTAGGCGCACAATGTTTCACACCGAGAAACGTTCAGAAGCTTTGTTTATTTACAAGATAACTCCCCGGGGGATCTTTAATTTCTGTTTGTGGAAGAACCTGAGCAGCAATTCTGCAATCAGTGATTTCCGAAACAAAAGATGTGTCGAGAAAAAGTAGCGCAGTACACATGCACAACGTCATGCATTTAATTGTTTGTAATGTCTACATTCTTGTCTCTGTCCCAGACTTTACTGAATCATGGCCGTAACATAATTTGAAGCAGAAGGAAAAGATGTGCAATTCAGGAAACTTCAAAGGGTGACCTAAAAATGAAATTCATTTTTTAACTGGGCTTCTCTTTCACTTTCTGTGCAGGTGAAGTCAGAGTATGTGCAGCTTAAAGAGGCCCTTGGTGTTGTGACGCAGGAGAGAGATTTAGCCCTTTGGGAGAGGAACCAGCTCCAAGGCAAACTGGAGAACTTAGAGCAGGTGCTCAAGGTAGGAAAACCAGATCCAAGTGTTCCCACTGTCCACTGGTATTGTTTGCATTTCCAGTTCTAGTAGCCCATTTATCCTGGGTTTCTTTTTGTGGAGCCTAACCCTTTACCAATCCTCTCCCCACTCCTACATGTGCTACACTGCCTCCTTCTGGTTCTGTACCACTGAACTGTCTAATGTCCTCGACGTGTCTGTTGCCTTCCAGTGTCGTGTTGGGAGGTCTGACCAGGAGCTGTGAAAGAATACAGGCTTGGAGCAGTCTGCCCCATTTCATTTATTTTTTCACCCTTTTACATTGTCCAACCTTACTGGGTTCGTTGCTACCTCCATTCACCCTGTCCCCTCGTCCCTCTTCTAGTTTTAAAAGGTATCACTGCTACGTCCATCTGTTGGGGAGCAGCCCTAGTTAGCCCCATTCTGAATGTTTTCTGTCCACCTCAGTGGCTGTGCTTATATCTCCCTCTATTCGTGGGCTGCTTACCAAACATACAAATGATCACGTGGCTATAAAACCAGAGCACTGTGGTATGTGATTTATGCATGAGGCAGGATAAAGAGTTTGGCTTTCTGATGACTGGAGGGGGAGGAAGAGGAAATATAAAGAGAATGGGGCACCCTCCACGATGATAATGTCACCCACAGGTCTGATGACTTTACAGATCTTAGATCTGAATACTTACGGCATGAAAATGTAATTTGCTTCCTTCACCTTACAGTGTGTCAGATATTCACTCATAGTGGGGAACAACGATGTGGTGACACAGGGGCACTGTGTTATGAAGAGCCTAGCATTCAGTCTGTTGTACTGTATGGCTTCTCTGGTTGTTATGGATGATCACAGACAAATGAGCACGCTGCAGAGTTTGCTCACCCCTTTAGTGTAACGCTAAACCTCAGATGGGTCATGCAAAGACAAGATCCAAGAAGACGTTTATTTAAAGCGTCCCGTTGGCCAGACTTTACAGCAGGTGTTGTGTTAACTAAAGGGGGCAGCAAATCCCACTGTTGACATGTTTTGTGGTTCAAACAGCAAAGCATCTCTAGTCCTCATCTTCTGCTCAAAATTTTCTATTTTGTTTCTGCAGATGACTTCACATAAATACGTTCATTTTGTGCGACACAGTTCATCTTTCTTTCTCTTAAGGATTTTAATGTAACCGCACAGTTATCTAGCCTCTGTATCTGTGAACTGTGCACATGTCAACACATTTGTGTTGTCTGAACATTGACGTGAAGACTCGAGATGCGTGTTGTGTTGCCAAAGTGCCACTGGATTTTAGTTCCACTAACAGCAGTCCTCTCTACGTCCCTCTCCCCCTGCAATCTTTCCCCCTCTGGCTCTCTATCCCTACACCTTTTTGTGGACAGCATATGCGCGAGGCTGCAGAGCGAAGGCAGCAGCTAGAGTTGGAGCATGAGCAGGCCCTGGCTGTACTCACTGCAAAGCAGCAGGAGATTGACATTCTTCAGAAGGTAATGGAAATCTGATTGTATAACCCTCCCTCCTCTCGGCTTTCTTGTTTGCTCTGGTTGTGGCTTGTCATGGGTCATTGGTGAAACATCAGGGTCGTACATATTGCACAACAAAAGACTTCAAAAATCATCCACGGGTTAGAGAATCCCCCTGGCATTGATATTTCCAGTGTTCCCAGAACCATTCTTGAATATCTGAACGCGTGACACTTCAAAATTACTCGTTGTGTTTGACACAAGCAAGCTGATCCAAAACATACAGACAGAACAGAACAAACTAAAGGCCTACGATTCCTTGAAGGAATGTGTGTCAGCTGTCGCCTTTCATACCCGAGTTTTAAAGTAAATTCATCTTGAGAACAGAAGATGTTATCCTTTTGGCCAAATTTTCACAAATATTCCACATACAGTGTCATGGTATCTATTTCAAGCTCCATTATCACTCAGCGTATTTGTTGCAGAAGAAGCTCAGCTACCACACCAAATTTCAGCTCATTTCCAGTTCAAGTTTTTGACTCCAAAGCAGTTATAGCTGTTCTTAAATTGATTACTTTCTGAGAGTTTCAGTTTCAGTTTGCGAACAGTCAGAGAAACATAGGTGCATACACGAGTAAAAACATAATCTCCCACTAATCACCTTTTTGTGGTGAGCGATAATCAAAAGCCTGCCCTGGCCGTTTGATGGCAGGACTTCCTCCTTTGAGCACTGGAGCAGGCTGTAATGTCAAAGCGAACCCGGGGAAGGCTGAGACTGCTGATAGTGTGAACATGATAGTCATTGTCACCAGTGCCATCTCTAGAAAAACTGCTTGTGCCCCAGTGTGTTTGTTGCTGCAGAAGCCTAAAGTCACAGCCGGCCTTTTGCAGGCAGCAGCTCTCAGTCTCTCTCGTCAACAGAAGCTCATTACTGCTTTATCTTTCTTCAGACACTCTCTGTGTTCCTCTACACTGATGGGCAGACTTATTAAATTATACACGCCTGCGCTTATATTCATGTGGAACAGATGTTTTCAGTTCAGAAAATGTCACGTACTATGCTTTGTACCTTCACAGTCATAGTAAAACTCATTCTTCTTACATGAACTAGACGAGTCTCTAAGTACACATGAAAACATTGCTGAAATTTAGGATTTCAAACAGTGTTTCTTTGCTCGGATGTTTAATTCAGGATTAACCGTCATTTGGATACATGCTGAATGTTTACAGAGAAAAGCTTTAGAGTAAATAATTATAAAATGAAAAGAGTCATAACCACAGGGGTGGTCCTAGCCTGTTTGGTGTCCTGGGCGAACAACACCCCGCCCCCCATTTCTGTAAAACTGTACACAATGAATTTAAACATACACAATACAAATACAATAATATATAGAAAATAAACGCAATTAAAATAAGGCATTTCTAAACTGCACCAATAGAATATGTGTGCAATAATTGCACTTTTATGAAGACATACATTTCACCGGACAACTGTCAAGGAAGGTCTGAACATTTTCTGAATGAGACAACTTACACTACTGCGCTTCATGAAACATAAATTAAATTGAACTGTCACGTAAAGTCTTATCCTTCTTTTAAAAAGTGATTCTGTACTATTATTTTTCAAAGAAGAAATACAGATTAAAGTGCACAACAACTGCCACCTAAATATTGACCTTTCTTGCCTTATTTGATGCAAAGTCATCAATAATGTCATTGGATGAAATCTGCTCAGCAGTTGTACGGTTGATACTGACATAGCAAATGGCTAACAACTAAGACAACAAAAAAAGAACAGGCCTGCATACAGTATATGTCCAATTTGTGAAATACTCAGAATAGAAGACAAATCAACACCTCTTCTAGTTAATGGCTATTTATCACAGTCCAAACAATATCACAAGATCATTACCTTTAGTAATTATAGTAGCCTAATAGTACTTTCCTATGTAGTAGTTTAATTTTAGAAGAATTTCAATCTTTAAAACGATATTTTCTGCTGAAAATCAAAAATGTCGTCCTAAGCAGCTAAACTAATTAATAGTAAGACTGTTTTGATACAGGCTATAGCCTACATAACACCTTTCATGCTCCAATAGATGACACTGCTGCATACCTTTATGTTTTGCTCGTTCATCCAGTAGTTCTTTTCTCTTTTGTCTTAAACTGGGCACCTGATGGCTTTGACCAGTTCTTGTCCATCTTCCATGTGTGTAATTGGCTGTTGAGCAGAGTACCTTATCACCATCCAACCCTAAACATGAGTCAAAACAACTTAAGCCTCAACTAATTCGCCTGCCTTGGTGTGCAGATTTGTTTTTGTATTATTTTTTTCAGTGATTCCACTATTAGCTATATTTACAATATTATGAATGAAATGTGCTTTGTTTGGGAAAAAAACAATGGTGTGATTTATTTAGTGAACACATTGTATTAGGTACATTATTAGATGCATCCCTGGCCCAGAAAGGGAGACAAGAGAATCTCACCCCCACCCCCCTTCACAATCTGTTTGTCAGACCTCAGCAGAAGCTACACGCCCTGCACTTGGTGGAAAGCGGCCATGCCTCACAAGTGGGCAATAGGAAACCGATATGTAGGCTTGACAGGCTATATGAAATAATGTGTTTTATTTTTTTGAGTGGGAGGGTGGATTGTATACCTGGATTATTGAGCATGGACTTTGTGGGTTTTGAACCAATTTGACATGATTGTCGATGAGGGAGAGGGCCGGCACCGAAGGAGGGGCCGTGCCAAAGAGACTATCTTATCACCAACATAACTGGTTTGTTCCACTTTAGAGTAAGCTGTTTGGGGGAAGAATCAGTTTTGTGTTGTGTGTTTCCTTGACTGATGAAGCCTTCTGGATGAAAGGTGAAACATTTCAGCACAAAAAAAAAAAGAAACTGTTCAGATGACCCCACTGAATATCAAAGAAATACTTAAATAATGTAAATTAACAATTACTTGAAACCACATAAAATAGTTTAAAAAACGAAATTTAAAGTTGAATAATTGGTTTTTAAAACTATGTAAATGTATGCAACAATTTGCAAAAGCTGAACTTAAAATATTAAATAGAATCATATAGAAATCATGACAAAAGATAAAAGTAAAAATTCCATTCCACTTAGGGGACCCCCTAGTGGCCCCGGGGCCCTAAGAAGCTGCTTAACCACTGCTTATTAGTTTGCTTATGCCTTGGACCAGCCCTGGGTTGGTTTGTTGTTAGACCCATTTTCACTTTGAGCTGAAATGACTTAAAAGTAAAAGTGTCTGTTCTGCTTCTAAATATCTGTCTAAATATCTAAATATCTGTCATCTGTGTTTTAAACCAAACGAAAACTGCTGTGTGAGTGAACTTCCCCCTTTTGTCTCCCAGGCTCAGGTTGAAGCTAAGAAGGAACATGAAGGTGCGGTCCACCTGTTAGAGGTGAGTGTCTGAACACCGGGGTGTGGTGAGGGTGGGGTGTGGTGAGGGTGGGTGCCTCTGGGTTATTGTGTGGATGCTGCGTACCAACCAGTGGACTCAGAGATCAGGCTGGAGCTGTTTCCTGACGCTCATTAGTTCCTGCCTTAAGCAGAACGTCAAACAATCTTTTGAAATACATTTTAAAACTTTACATTTATATGAAAAGTCTTTCTTCGATCAGAATGTCCAACTCGGTTGTTCTGTCTCTGCATACGAGCACTGTAGGAAGGTGAAATGTGTTTTCAGAATGTGAATGAGTGATCTCACGTGTAATTGTGTTATTTCTTTCCCTACATCTCTTTTTACTGTACGGGTGTATGTTTACACTAAAACAGAACCACTTGGACAGCATGCAGGTATTTCAGAATTGTTTTTATTAATTAACGTGATATTTTTGAAGCCTTTAGCACCTGTAGTTTGGCCCAGGGGGATGTATCACCAGATAGCTAAGATGATTATTCATTAATTCTTCAGTTTGTGAATGACAACAAACATTAAAAGTTACATCTGACTGAGTGGTAGCGAGCAGGAAAGTCATGAGCTGATTTCTACAATTCTGAGCTCACAGTGATTTATTTTCAGCTTAGCTCCCCTCACTCAGTCCTGTCCTACAGTATACTACATTTCAGTGGGTTTATAATTTATAAAACACTTTAAAAAAAGTTTGAACTGATCTGACTTCATAAACTGGACCTCTATCTTATTTCTTATTAGATCTTTAAAGTTGGCCTTGAGTGACAATTTTTTAGACTTTAAAAGTCAAAGTTTTTCTTTGTTGATGTTTATTTTTTACCCATTGCCAGTCCAGTCTTTGTGTATAGATATTTAGTTTACAGGATTTGTTTGAGAAGCTTTTTCCTGAAGCCTGACAGAAGCGCATGATTCACAGGCTAAATCTGGTTTTAAAATGAACCAAGCCTTTATCACCAGTTGATAGAGCAAAAGCATGCAACAACTTGTTCTTGTTTGTTTAAAATGCTAAAAATGTAGGCGATAACATGTTCACATGGTCTGTAGTTTGTGTGCAGCACAGCAGTTAGAGCTGTCGTCTCACAGCATGAAGGTTGCAGGTTCACCTTTTGGCCTTTCAGTGTAGTTTGCATACTCTCTCTTTGCATGTTAAGAGGCAGATAAATAAAATGGATGGATAGATGACAGGAACCCATATCAGAACATTGGGCAGGGGCAACAAAAATCTGTAGAAGAAAAAGGTATAAATAGGAAACAGCTGGAAGAGATCATTGAATCCACAAATGCCACATCTTCTGTTTTCAAAAGGAGAGGAGGAACCCTGCTGTTATCAGCAATAGATGGATGGATGATAGATGGATGGATGGATGAATGGATGGATGGATAGATGGATGAATAATGGCTAGATGAAGGGGTGCTTGGTTGGATGAATGGTTGGATGAATGGATGGATGGATGGATGGATGGAT